CTAGAGGACCTGGTTTGAGGCATTTGTCACCATTGGGTACTACAATGGACATGCTGGTCTGGGTGCTAAGTACTCATAGGAAGTAGCCACTGCCATCCATGGGGACATCATCCTGGCCAAGCTCTTAATTGTCCCTGTGTGGTGAGGCTACTGGGTAACAAGATAGGCAAGCACCACACTGTCCCTTGCAAGGTGACTGGGTGCTGTGGCTCTGTGCGGGTGTGTCTCATCCCTACCCCCAGTGGCACTGGCATTGTTGCAGCCTTTGTGGCCCAAGAAACTGTTGCTGATGGCTGGTATTGACAACTGCTGCACCTTGGCCAGGGGCTGTGCTGCCACCTTGGACAACTTTGCCAAAGCCACTTTCGATGCCATCTCTAAGAGCTATAGGTATCTCGCCCCTGATCTCAGGAAAGAGACTGTTCACCAATTCTCCCTACCAGGAACTCACCGACCATCTTGTAAAGACCCACGTCAGAGCTTCTGTGTGGAGGATCCAGGCTACAGCTGTGGCTACCACATAATTTCTACAAGAAAAATAAAGTGAATTAAGCCTGGGGTAGGGGGGTGGGGGGAAGAAAACCCAACTATATGCAAATCCCAACTAGGGATTTGCAGATCCATAACCCTATAAACCATAAGGAGATACCAGTTCACACTCAATAGGATGGTTATACAAACAAAAGCACAGAAAAAACAACCATTGGTAAGGATGTGGAGAAATTGGAACCCTTATACGTTGCTGATGGGAATGTTGAGTGGTGAAGCTGCGTTGGAAAAACAGTTTTACGGTTCCTCAAGTTGTTAAACAGTTACCATATGACTCTGCGGTTCCATGTATAGGTATATATCCAAGAGAACTGAAAGCATATGTCCACATAAAAATTATTAATGAATGTTTATAGTAGTATTATCCAAAAAGTGGCAACAGTCCAAATGTCCAACAACTGATGAATGGATAAGCAAAATGTGGCATTTGTATGCAGTGGAATATTATTTGGCCACAAAAAAAGAATGAAGTACTGATACATGATACAGCATAATTGAACCTCAAAAACATTGTTAAGTGAAAGAAGCCAGTCACAAGATATCACACGTTCTATGATTCTATTTGTATGAAATATATAGAATAGGTGAATCTAGAGAGAAAGTAAGTAGTGGTGTAGGGCTGGGGCAGTGGGGAGATATGAGGGTGCATAGATAAAGGGGACAGTATATTCTTTTTTAAAAGATTTTATTTATTTATTTTAGAGAGGGAAAGGGAGGGAGAAAGAGGAGAGAAACATCAGTGTGAAAGAGAAACATCAATGTGAAAGAGAAACATTGACAGGTTGTGTCTCCAACACACCCTGAGACCGAATCTGCAACCTATGCATGTGCCCTGACCAGGGATTAAACCTGCGACCTTTTGCCTTGCAGAACAGTGCTCAACCCACTGAGCCTCACCAGTCAGGGCTGTGTTGACTCTTAAATCCTTTGTTTGGCACCGGCACACTGTCACATGTACCCACCTTTTGCATAGAAGTTTAAATGACATTTTTAAAGCATGCTAGTTTATACTTGTACTTACACTTCCTCATCCTTCTCTATATATTCTTTCCTTTTCCATGTGAAAATACTAGTTTCCAATAACTGCTCTATGTATTTCTTCTGTTCTATAATACACACAAGACAGTTTAAAAATTAAAATGCTAATATTATTACTAATAATGTTCTCTGTAAAGTTTAATATTTCTTTGTGTGCTTTTTGCCTTTAGTATATATACCACTAAGTATATCCATTCAGAAAACTATTTTAAGAGTTACTTGGATTATTTGGAAATTGGATTATTTGTGTGTGTGTGTGTGTGTGTGTGTGTGTGTGTGTGTGTGTTTATCAACTTGTTAGTCTTTTTTAAAAAACAGAGTTTGAAATCCTACTGATATTTCCAGTTCAAATTACAGATTAAAAGTGTAAAATTTCATTCTTATATCTCTTATCTCCCACTATGAAAATACTGATTTCCAACCACACAACATAATCATTAAGTATGTATATCCCTGTTAGGGATGTCAATCAAATTATGGTGTTTTACACTCACTTGAAATAGTTTCTTTTAATATTTTTGTTTCATTTTGCTTTCTTTTAGGGATTTTAAAATCATTTCATTGTCTTTTAAAATTATGTAAAATATTTACAATTGTTATAAAGTCAAATGTATAAAACAGTGTATATTTAAGGGAAGTCTACTTTCAATCCCTGCCCTACAGTTTTGCTTTTTAACTTTTTATTATAGATACTTTCAAACAGACATAAAGAGACTAATATAAAAATTTCAGATACCTATTACTCATCTTCAGCAATTATCAAGTTATTGTTGATCTTGTTTATTTATACACCCAATCATTTGCCACACTGTTAGTTATGGTAGTTTAAAAATATGTTACAGTGTTTGTTTAGGACGGTCTCGAGGGCAGGTGTGTGTCCTAATGGAGATGATCTGTGCTACCAGGAGAAATACATGATTCATGAGAGTAGAGATAACTGCAAGAGGAAGGGGCTAGGAAGTAAGAGGTGAAAGTCTTCTGTCTCTTCTTCCAGCTGTGTGGAAGAATTGGCCTTGAGTAGGGCCATTGTTTCTGGGAAGACGCTTCCTTCATGCTTCTGGGAAGAGAGACAGATGTAGCACATTGGTAGGAGTTTCTGCTGCGGTCCCCCACCCCCCTTAAAGGTTGTAAATTGAAAGAGGAAGGGTGGGAGAAGAGAATAGCTGTTTTGGAGAGTGTAGTGAATGTAGTAGTACGTAGCTGTGAGTGCTGAGTGTCTACCTGAGATTTGTGGTCATGACTTTACAGTGAAACCAGGCAGCTTGTTGGGATTTTCTTCCCCTTCATTTAGATGAAGAACAGATAGGAGGTCAGTGGATGATTGCGTTTAAATGGAGTTAGGTATTTGTAGGGTGAGTGTATCTGAGGGAAAGAGTGGCAAGGGATTAAGTTGTGGGAGACTGAGTAAGGAAGGAAGTGAGAACATGGGTAGAGTGAGGGACGGAAGGGTGGAGAGGTAGGGAAATGAGGGGTACCTTGGAGAAGCAGTGGGAAAGAACAGAAACCAGGGTAGTCCTGGGGCATAAGGTATTCGTTTACCACCGCTGGGTTGAGTGAGCTTCATCCATCTCTTGTTTTTTTTATCTCTTTGCTCAAGCTTCAAATTCTTGGTGAAGAGAGATCAGTTTCTTATTCAAATGCTCACCCCTTAAATAGGAGGAGGAAGGGAGTGCGTGAATCGGGGATTTGCCTGCTTGAGAGATTTGGTAGTTAGGATTGGAAGTTTGCCCATAACATTTTTTAAAAAAAATCTTGCTGGTTCCTACTTTCTATGGATCCATTATGTAAGGGAGGTGTAATTTGTCCAGTTTGTATACTGTCACATGGAATAATTACATGCTTTGGAAACAGTTTTGTAAAACCAATAAGTAGTGAGGTTAAGCTAAGATGGTGAAAATCAGTGATTACAACTGCCAGTTGATTTCTTTGTGAAACCAAAGTTTTGGGGAAAAATTCAAAGATTCAGTTTAAGCTTAAAACTGTACTTAAACTACAAAGTTCAAAGCATAGTAATTCAGCTTGTAGGATAACAAATGTATATATTAAACCATACTCTGAAAAGTTTTGAGTTGATCTAGTCTCTTATCATAGTTTATTGGCTTGTTGCAAATAATTGCATTAATTTTTTGAGTTGGAGTAAAAAGCTGTAGAAATTAATGGCATAGCTATGTTTTCTCCTTGGAGAAAATTACCTAATTATTCTATATCAATTCCTGATATGGAGTTAGTTGTAGGCTACCAGCAGAAAGCCTAACCATAGCAGAGGCGAGGAACATGAAAAGTCTAGTGACTAGGCAAAGAAGCTGAGTACATTGAAGTTTTATGTAATTTGAAGTAAAAGTTAGAACATTTGAAGTAAAGATCAGTAGTAATATTTTCAAGCTCCAAAGTAGTTGAGATAAGTAAATACTATTTTTTTTAATCTTTAAAAAAAATTTTTTTTTTTTTTTGAGAGAGAGGGGAAGGGAAGGAGAAAGAGTTGGGAGAGAAATATCAATGTATGGTTGCCTCTCGTGTGTCCCCTGCCGGGAACTGGCCTGCAACCCAGGCATATGCCCTGACTGGGAATCGAACCGCTATACTCTGGTTCGCAGGCCTGTGCGCAATCCACTGAGTCACGCCAGCCAGGGCAGTAAATACTATTTTTCTTAACAGCAAAGAACTGTAATTGTGTTGTGTGAATTAAATTTAGTTGATGATGGGGTTAGTGATTGGGAAGAGATAAAGGAATCTAATGTCTCTGGTTTTGTGAATCATCTTGACATGATAGTAAAATTCCTTTATATATTGTTTGGTCTGGTGGCATTGGCATAATGCATAAGAACAGGCTTTTACTAGACAGTCAGAATTGCTTTGTTCTAGGGCACAGGTGGCAAACACAAGACCTGCCAGCCAAATCCGGCCCTACACCTTGTTTTATTTAGCCTGGCACCTTGTTTTCTGCCTGGTAGCAGTGCTGAGCTCTCGCTTAACTTTTAAGGAGTAGTTACATTTATACAGGCCGGAAATTACATTCGACCCTTTGAAGGCAACTGCAAGGCTGATGTGGCCCCAGTGAAAATGAGTTTGACACCCCAGTTCTAGGGCATGTGATTTATCATATATCTGCGCCAGTTTAATAACAAATGATGTTACAGTGAGGTTCCATTGCCCCTTTTTTTGAAACTTATACCTGTCTCTATCAAATTTTCAGAGTGATGCAAGAATATTAGTATGGCCTGGCCAGGTGGCTCAGTTGATTGGAGTGTCGTCCTAATCCCAAGCCAAGGCACGTTTGGGGGCAACTGTGTTTCTCACGTCGATGATTCTCTCTCTAAAATCAATAAACATATCCTTGGGTGAGTGTTTTTTTTAAAAAAAGAATGTTAGTAGTAAGTGAATTCATTTTCTTTTTCTTTCTTTTTTTTTTTTAGGAGCAGCCACCATATCCGAGCTACAATTCTACCTACTGGAATTCTCCTCCTCGACCGAGGACTCCTTACCCAAGTACATACCCAGTAAGGCCTGAAATGCAAGGCCAGGTATGGTCCATAATTGACAGACTTTCTGAATTTTTTCTCTTTTTTATAAATTACAGTTTATTGAGTGTGCTATTACTGTTGTCCTGATTTTTCCCTGTTGCCCCCCTCCACCCAGCACCCCTATTCCCTCAGGCATTTTTCCACCATTGTTCACGTTCATGGGTCATGCATATAAGTTCTTTGGCTACTCCATTTCCTATACTGTACTTTATCCTGTGGCTATTCTGTAATTAAAAAAAAAGATTTATTTACTTATTTGTAGACAGAAGGGAGAGGAGGGAGAAAGATAGGGAAAGAAATATCATTGTGTGGTTGCCTCTTGTGTGCCTCCTACTGGGGACCTGGCCCATAGCCCAGGTATGTGCCCTGACTGGGAATCAAACCGACGATACCTTGTAATCTGTTCCCTGTATATTTGAGTTGGGTTGTTTGTTTTTTGTTTAGATACGGTATTTGTCCACATGTATTTGTCTTTATCTGTCCGGCTTATTTCACTTAACATAATACTGTTAAGGTCCATCCACGTTGTTCCAATTCGGAAGTTTTCCTTCTATTTTTATGACTGAATGATATTCCATTATATATATCTACCCCGTCGTCTTTATCTGCTGATCCATTTATGGACATTTGGGTTGTTTCCATTCTTGGTAAATAATGCTTCAGTGAACATAGGAGTGCAGATACCTTTCTGAATTAATTTTTTGTGTATCCTTTGGATATATGCTTACGTGTGGAATTGCAGGGGTCATATGGTAGTTCTATTTTTAATGTTTTGAGGAACCTCCATACTGTTTTCTGTAGTTGTTGAACCAGTTTATATTCTCACCATCAGTGCAAAAGGGTTCCCTTTTCTATACATCTGTACCAACACTTGTTATTTCTTGTCTTTTTTGATAATAGTCATTTTAACAGGTGTAGAGTGTTTTTTTGGGGGGGGTTGTGTTTTTGTTTTTTTTTTTAATTGACACCTTGGCATTTAATTCATTTTGTACAGGGTAAGATGTGCTTATAGCTTCCCTCCCCACACTGGGCAGGATGGAACCTGTGCAACCTGTGCCCCAACCCAAGCAACTGCTGTCAGGCTTACTTGACCAGAAGGCAGTCTAGGGAGGGAGGATTTAAAGGGTCCAAGGCAGGCCGTAGAGCGCTGCCCCCTGCCAGCACTGCAGAGCCTGGCCTTCCACCCTGGGGGCCTGATTCCCTTTCACTGTGGTTTTGATTTACATTTCACTGGTGATTAGCAATGTTATGACCCTTTCATCCACCTGCTGGTCATCTGTATGTCTTCTTTGAAAAATGTCTATTCAGATTTGCCATTTTAAAACCTGATTTTTTTATTTTTATTTATTTATTTTTTTTGCTGTTGAGTTGTATGAGTTCTTTAAATATTTTGGAAATTAACCCCTTATCAGAAATAGAATTTGTAAACATTTTATCTGATTCAGTAGGTTGTGCTTTCATTTTGTGAATGGTTTTCTTTGGTCTGCGTATGCTTTTTAGTTTGATGTCTTTTGCTATTGGTGTAAGAAAATTTGACTTTTTTTTTTTAAAAAAAAGATTTTATTTATTTATTTATTTTTAGGTAGAGAGGAGGGGAGGGAGAAAGAGAGGGACAGACACACTGATGTGAGAAAGAAACATCAATTACCTGCCTCCCGCACACACCCAGACCTGGGATTCAGCCCACACCCAGGCATGTATCCTGACTAGGAACCCAACCGGTGACCTTTAGCTTTTCAGGATGATGCCCAGCCAACTAAACCACACTTGTCAGGGCAGAAAACTTGACTTCTTATCAAATATTTATTTTATTTTATTTATTGTTTTATTTTTATGGGTTTTTTTCATTTTAAGTTTTTAATGAAAGTTGTGCATAAGATTACTTTATTCCTTCATCTTTTCATTTATTTCTTCCTTGTATTTGCCCTTTTTTTAAAATTTGGTGAGATTTGGCTTTACGTTCAAGGATCTGTTTGCAGTCTTTGTCCACTTTGGTGGCAAGAATTTACCAGATGTTTGCTCTTTCTCATCTACATATGAATTACCTACTTTCCCTTTGAAACACTAGACTCATTTCTCCCTCTTCTTAGTGCAGAATGGCATATAAGCCTCAACTGCCCAGTGTGACCTTGGATTCCATAGTCTTATGGAACCCTTGAATGTACATATGTAAAAAAATCGGACATTTTCTTTTGTTGCTCAGTCTTATGTTAGATCAATTATTAGTCCAGCCAGAAAAACTTAAAAGTGTGGGAGAAAAATTATTTCCCTTACACTAATATATCCACTTTCTAAAAATCTTCCCTTGAGGACATTTTTTATTACTGCTTTTAGAGAGGAAGGGAAAGAAAGAGAAACATTGATGGGAGAGAAACATCTATTAGTTACCTCCTGTACTCAATCCCACCAGGGATTGAATTGGGGGAACTCCGTCCTCCTGGCCACTATGGATGAGAATAAATCTACCAAGGCATGATCTGCTTGGGGAGAAAAGGATGGCCAATTTCTCAGAGGAGAAGGGCCTCCAGCACCTCTTTCCCTGGGGTTTTATTGGGTTTAGTTTGCATAGGAATACAGGGCAGATATGTAAAGCTCATCAGTCATTGCCAGGCAGTAATGATCAAGGAATAGATAATTCTCAAAGAACTCTAAGGTTCTATTCTGAGTCAGGGTCAGATAAATAGAATGATATCAAAGGGCCATAAAACTTTGGGTAATAGACTCATTTTATGCTTGGACCCTTAACATTTAAATTGAGGACATTCATATTAAAGCAGGTTTCACAGGATTCTGTGCATTGTCTCTTAGGCCTGATTGTTCCCCGCCCCTCCCGCCACTGGGAACCACCCATTCCAGCACAGGGCTGCACCCTCTTCAGCATTGTTTGGTCAGAATCAGGTAGGGCAGCCAAGAAATTAGGAGACTTTTTACAGATAGAATGAGGACTCAGGCTATGACAAAGCTGAGGGGTGAGGGTCTTTTGTCACTCCTCCATAATCCCCTAAATCCTTCCCTGATGGCCCCTTGGTGGCCCTACCTATTAGGTAGTTCCTCCCTTAAGGAATCTTACCTGTCATTGGCTAATCAGTCATCCACTGGGCCAAGCAGGGGATATGAGAGAGGGGATAAGTTTTTGTCTCCTAAGCGGCTTATGTCCCTAAGACCTTTTTACTCAGCCTTAGCCATGGAGGGGTTACAGCTTCTGAAACCAGGCAGGGCAGTTCCCAACAATTGAACCTACAACCTAGGTGTGTGCCCTGAACCCACAACTTTTCTTGGTGTACAGGATGATGTTCCAACCAACTGTGTCACCTGACCAGGGAATATATATCTATATTTTGGTAGACTTGTTTTCAGGCTTTTCCCCATTATCTGTACATAGCTTTAAACTTACTGTTCATACACTTTCTTATGTGACTTATATCTACTTTCAATGTTAATCTCCTGTGTACCCATCTCTCAGCTTCAACAAGTATCAGTATATGGCCATCTTGTATCATCTATATCCCTGGAGTATTTTGAAGAAAATTCTAGACATCATAGTATTTCACTTGTAAATGCATATATATCTTTAAACTATAAGGAAGTTTAAAAAAACCACAATGCCATTATTAAAACTTGAAGAAAAAACCCCAAAGTAATTTATTTTATTTTATTTTATTTATTTATCTTTAGAAGGGAAAGGAAGGGAAGGAGAGAGGGAGAGAAATATCAATGTACGGTTGCTTCTTGTGCATCCATCCCCTACTGGGAACTGGCCTGAAACCCAGGCATGTGCCCTGACTGGGAATCGAACTGAGATCTTTTGGTTCGCAGGCCCATGGTCTATCCACTGAGCTATACCAGCCAGGGCTCCAAAGTAAATTTTAAAAAAAATTTTAGCCCTGGCTGGTGTAGCTCAGTGGATTGAGCACAGGCCTGCGAACCAGACAATCGCGGTTCAATTCCCAGTCAGGGCACATGCCTGGGTTGCAGACCAGTTCCCTGCAGGCCAATTCCCAGCGGGGGATGCATGAAAGGCAACCATACATTGATGTTTCTCTCCTCTCTCCTTCCCTTCCCCTCTAAAGATAAATAAATAAAATCTTAAAAAAAAGAAATCCTTTCTTGAAAAAAAAAATTTTTTTTATTTAGTTATTTTTCAAGTATAGTTTTTTTGTCTATTTCTCCCATCCCAGCCCCCCACCCCCACCCCGTGTTCCCCACCTCCCTCCTCCAAAGTAATTTTTTGATAAAATGAAATAATCTGGTCAGTTCTAACAGTGAATTTTAAAAAAAATTTTGTTCATTTATCTTTAGAGGGGAAGGGAAGGAGAGAGGAAGAGAAACATCAATGTATGGTTGCCTCTTGTGTGTCCCCTGCTGGGAACTGGCCTGCAACCCAGGCATGTGCCTTGACTGGGAATCAGACTGTAATACCTTAGTTCTCAGGCCAACGCTCAATCCACTGAGCTACACCAGCCAGGGCTAACAGTGAATTTTTAAAGCAGAACAAAATTCTCTCAGTAGGGCCATCGTCTACTTAATCATTCCATTGTTATAGGATATTTAAGTTGTTTGCGATTTTGATTATAAATAATGTTGTGATGAACAAATTTATGCCTATAATTTTTTCTCCAGTTGAATAATTTTCTTAGGAAAGAGTTTTAGAAGTTAAATAGCACTGCAGAAAGTCACGTGATGTTTCATCTAGTCTCCAACTGTGTATGTTGTATTAAGGGGTTCTTTGTTTAGGCACAGCAGCCCATGGGCAGAAGACCTTAACGGCCTCCATGTTGGCTTTAACAGAGGGTGGTTCATTGTCCTGTGCAGGGAATGAAATGATTGCTGGGATCTTCATTTCAGCCACTCCAAGGAAGGCCATGTGGTGATAATAGCTTGTGTTTTACCCTCTTGCCATAAGAGTATGATTAAGAATTTAAGATGTTTTCCACAGTATTGTGATGGCTATCCCACATTAATTTATGGCACTATTTTATGTGCCATAAATTAGGCATCAAATTTGATTAGGAATCAAATTTGAATTTCATTTTCTGCAGTTATTAACAGCAGCGTAAGATATCAGAATTCTTGCCCTGATTGGTGTGGCTCAGTGGGTTGGGTGTCACCCCACAAACCAAAGGGTTGCTGGCCCTGTTCCTGGTCAGGCCAGATTCCCGGGTTGTGGCCAGATTCCGGCTAGGGGCGTGTGAGGGGCAACTGATTGATACTTTTCTAGCACTTCGATCTTTTCTCTCCCTTTTCTCCTCCTTTCCCCTCTCTCTAAAAGTAAGTAAAAAAATCTTTTAAAAAATCAGACTTCTTTTATTATTGAAGTATAACTAAAGTTTGATATATACAACATAATGATTTGATAGTTGTATACATTGTTAAATGATCACCATGATAAGTCTAGATAACATCACAGGAGTCTTATCTTTTATTTAAATTGGAAAAGATTATGTAGTCTTACTGAGAATGATGAGTACTGGGAAACTTGATTCTATGTTTTAAGTAATCATTAAATTTAGAGTTTAGACTTAATCTTGTTTGGATTATTAAACTCAGGATTTTGGGTGTCAGTAATAGTCTGGATAGGTGATTTAAAACACAATTAGGAATAAATGAGTTATTTGTCTCTTGTATGCTGTTATTATCGGGAAGCACAGTGGAATAGTACAAAGAACATGAGTTCTGGGTTCATTTCCTGACCTTGCCATACTGATACCAACAACAATGATATTTATTGACCATACTATATGCCAGATACTATGTTAAGCATTTGGTATATGTCATCTCATTTAATTTGAACAATAACCCTTCAAGATAAGTTTATGAACTTATATATACAGAGCCTCTGGGAGAGCTAGGTCTGCCTCTGTAGCCTTTTTTTTCTTTCTATCGTATCATGATTATTTTCTGCTTTCTGTAGCCATTCTTCCACATTTCCCAGAATCCTCTCATCAGTTTGTGAGTTCAAGTACTCTACTGTTAGGTCTAATTGTTAGGTAGACTTACGGAAGTGTTTGGAGCAGAAGCACTGCTCTAAGGCATCTCATCACAATATACTTTCCCATTATTATGGCACAGACTCTACAGTGATAATCTGAGTTTAATATGTGGCATGTGATTATATGAAAGAAAGAATGCTTCCAAGATTGCTTAGTAGTTCATATTTTCATTACTTTCTGATCTCTTCCTAATGTTTTTGAAGTTGGGCATTAAGTCAGATTTCAACTCTTTCACGTGTCTTTTTTTTCTCTCTCAACTATGGTTTTTATAGAGTTTGAATTCTTACACTAATGGAGCATATGGCCCACCATACACAACTGGCCCAGGGGCAAATACTGCCTCATACTCTGGGGCTTATTACACACCTGGATATTCTCAGACCAATTACTCCACAGAGGTTCCAAGCACTTACCGTTCACCTGGGAACAGCCCAACCCCAGTCTCTCGTTGGATGTATCCCCAGCAGGACTGCCAGGCTGAAGCACCTCCTCTTAGGGGGCAGGTTCCAGGATATCCTGCTTCACAGGTGAGCATTGTTCTGTTGGGTGTATATTTTTTTAATGTCTTATGAACGATGCCATGTCCATTTCTCTGTTCAAGGGTTCTAATATGTTGACATAAGAAACGTCCATTGGCTATGAATCAAGGCCAGCAGTTTACTGAAGCTGCTGGTTTCAAGCAGGAGCCTAAAGCAATGTCTTTCTATGGTCTGTTGGCCATTTCAGAGCTTAGGAAATGTAATGATCAATTCATTAGAAAGAAACATCTGGGGAGGAAAAAAATCCAAACTTGTACAGAATTTTTTAGTTTATTTGAGTTAAACTGACAGTTGTCAAGAAGCACAACCTCAACAGATTAAGAAAATGCTTCAGGGAATGGCAGTTTTACACCTTAAATTATACATTACAACCAAAGGAGGAGACAAGGAAGTTAAATTAAATCCATTGGTGGTACATTAGGGGACAGGAGAAAGCAAAGTTCTGATGTCTCTGAGATTTGATAAATTTAAAGCGGATGGAAAGATACTTCTTTGACAGTGGTGGGTATAGGATAGTTAACAAAATTTACAGCAGATAGAGGTGGTATGCAGGAGAACAAGATAACGACGAGGGTTCCATGGTCTTGTCCTCTGGTGGGAGGTTGTGCCCTGATGGGTGTGAAAAAGGGAATTAACTCCGACATTCCAAAGGTTATGTTGTTATAGATGCAAAAAAGACAATAGACAGGCTTAGTTACTGGCCTAGGACATGACTACCTACCATAACTCACTTTTAGTTAGGAAGTTTTAATTTCAGACCATCCCGTGTACTTACTTTAGGTGTCTGAGTTTATAAGGTCCACATGCAAGCTTCCCCTTAGCTTGTCAGATTTAATTAGTATGTGGCCCCTTTTTTGTCCACAAATATGCCTTTGTTTCTGCTTCCTTATATGAGTCTACTTATTTATCGTAGGTATGGGGCAGGCTTATGTTGTGCTTCAGCCATTGAATTTTAGACCCTATTCCTTCTGAGTTTGTCAGCAAATCTGCCTCTGGTATTTTTGGAGCCAAGTTTTTCAAGGCTTAGAGAAATTACTAGCTGATCTAAGATGTTAAAATTTAGCCTAGGGGTGGCCAAGATATATTCTGCTAAGGAGAGATAAAGCATCACAGAATCTGTTAATACTGGAATATTTTCGTTACTTCTTTTTAGTGTTTGTTTTTTTTTAAAGCAATGACCAGCAAATGTCCTTCTCTCAATATAGAACCCTGGAATGACCCTGCCCCACTATCCTTATGGGGATGGTAATCGTAGTGTTCCACAACCAGGACCATCTATACGACCACAAGAGGACTCATGGGCTTCTCATGGTGCTTATGGAATGGGAACCCGTTACCCCTGGCCTTCAGCTGCGTCCTCAGCACCACCTGGGAATCTCTATATGAGCGAAAGTACTTCAGCGTGGCCTAGCACTGGCTCTCCTCAGCCACCCCCTTCACCACCACCCCAGCAGCCAAAGGTAGGAGACCTAAATGTTGTTCTTTTGATGTTTGGGTAGTTAAGAAAGCACAACATAAAACTTTTATACCATGGTCTGTGTTAAGTGGGGACTAACTGCAAAAAGTTGGTTATTACTACCTATAGCTTTACCTAGCCCAGTTTCCTTTAAAAAAAAGACTATTTTTAGAGCAGTTTTAGGTTCATATCCTCTTCCTAAAAGACTACTCCCAGCACCAAATGCTCATTTACTGTTTGTTGTAATACTATCTGAATGTTAAACAGAATCAAAGGTTGCATTTTATTACCTCAGTCTGTAGACCGAAGACAAAACCAGTATGAAATTGTGGTTAAACCAAAGACTTGAACATGATTTGCTTGTGACTAGGTTCCTTTTTAAGATCTGTCTTAAGATTTTATGGGGGAAACTATCTAATTTCTATTTATTTAGTGGATTGTGAGGTAGTAAGGGTAGATTATGAGGTATTCATGGTGATGCCCTGCCTTTTGGACGGATGGTAGATTCCAGCTATTATGCTCAGGAAATCTCTGCCTTTTACTTGACAGGGCACTCCTTTTTTCTTTTTAAGGCCGTGTTTTTCTCAAATAATTAATGAAGGGGGTCCAGTTTTATTGGTGGGGAATCTTTTCATGTATGAAGGTGAAAGATGTGGGTTAACAAATCTGATGTTGATGGATTACCATTGAAACAGTTTTTTTTTTCCTTTTTGCTTTCCCACCCCAAGGATTCCTCATATCCCTATAGCCAATCAGATCAAGGCATGAACCAGCACAACTTTACTTGCAATGTCCACCAGTACGAGTCCCCAGGAACAGTGAACACTGATAATTCAGATCTTTTGGATTCCCAAGTCCAATATAGTGCTGAGCCTCAGCTGTATGGTAATGCCACCAGCGAACATCCCAGCAATCAAGAGCAAAGTAACAATCTTCCTGAAGAGTGTTTACCTTCAGATGAAGATACTCCCCCAAGTATTAAAAAAATCATACACGTGCTGGAGAAGGTCCAGTATCTTGAGCAAGAAGTGGAAGAGTTCGTAGGAAAAAAGACAGACAAAGCATACTGGCTTCTGGAAGAGATGCTAACCAAGGAACTTTTGGAACTGGATTCAGTTGAAACTGGGGGTCAGGACTCTGTCCGACAGGCCAGGAAAGAGGCTGTTTGTAAAATCCAGGCCATACTGGAAAAATTGGAAAAAAAAGGATTATGAAAGGATTTAGAACAAAGGGGAAGCCTGTTACTAACTTGACCAAAACTCTTGATTTTGGTTAATTACCCTTTTTTTGAAATGCCTGTTGATGACAAGAAGCAATGCATTCCAGCATTCCTTTGATTTGAAACTTGAAAAACTGGTAAAGGATTTGGGAAAACATTTTTGTTATGAGTTGTTTTCAGTTTTTAGACCAATGAATGTAATAGGAAACCGTGGAGTTACCAATATTGCCAAGTAGACTTACTCCTTAAGAAATGTATGGATATCTACAAGTTGCTTCTTATCATAAATACACTTTATGTAACAGGCTTATCAGAAATCTGCCAGATGAGACTGGATATAATCTGAGACAAACAGGCTCTGTTTTTTAACACATGTGGATTATTTGTCAACATTTTTGTACATTTTGACTGCTTTCAACATACACGTCGTGTAATTACAGCTTGGACTTTAGCTTTGTTGGACCTCTGTTTTGTTATTTGCAGTTTACAAATATAGTATTATTCTCTACTTCTTGGTACATTTTGTAGTAATATGTTTAATGTAATTATTCAAGAGACTATATTGCTAGCCAGATAGTATGGCATTTCTGAATGAATTTATATCTTTTCACCACTTGAATATATTGCAATGCATAGTGAGTTCCTGAGGTAAACTGTCTCCTTTTTTGTATAGATCATTAGGTTAGAGTTTCACCACTTCTATGTTAATAGCAGAAGGCAATTTGAAAATAACGTGGGCATAGGAATGCAAATGCTTGTGGCCATTTTTCTGTTTTGCTCTTTTAGCGTATTTGTATAAAGATTTACTTTAAAATTCCCCTCCCTTCCTTTAGTTATCTTTTCACTAGTGCTGCTTTCATATGGAGCATATGGAGCACAGGTAACAGATGAGAAATTAAATGCCACAGTGGGTAGAAATAATTAACTGTAAAAGTAATAAATACAACGATTTGGAAATGCTGTTCTTTATCTGAAATACTGGTTTCACCATCAAGAGCCCTACAAACAGATTTCAGCTTAGTTTATACTAAAAAAACAAGGAGAGTAAAATAGAATTCATGCTCAGGGAATGAATCAGCCATAGCTAGAGTAGGAAATTATTTTTTCGTTTAAAGGTGGATTTGATGTTTATCTTTATTTCCCTAGAATAAATTGCATGGGAAATATTGCCTGTTTTATTAAAAGATATTTATTACCATTAGTAACAATCATTTTAGAGCCAGATTTAAGGAAGGGATATTGAAAGGGTCTTAGCTGGGCTTGCTTGGGTACCTCTGTGCTATCTCTGCTATCTTATCGAAGAGACTTAGGTAAATAATTTAATTTTTACATCTAAAGTGGCATCTAGTATACAGTGTCTGTTACTAGAAAAACAGCTGTTTCTTAATAAGATGTGCAAATGATAATATTTCTTTTCTAGACTGCTAGGCCTATTAGTGATAATAAATCTTATCAGCCATCTCCTCTCCTTATTAAAAAAAATACAAGACCAATACAAACATAATTGGTTATGAGAAGAAATGGAGTAAACATAATGGCTGGGTCTTATGGTTGGGATGAGTGATTTTATGAGATAATGTGATAATTTTATTCTAGGATATTTATTTTTGGCCTAACAGGAATGTTAAAAGGCTTTTCTATGAAAATTAGAAGACCACTTGAAACAAAATTTAGAAGGGGGAGGACCTTAAATAGCAAAGTTAACATAAAACAGTGAGACAATGACTAATTCAGGAGAGAAAACTACTATTCGAGTGCCCAAGATACCGATTTTCATTGTCATGATATGCACATATATACATATGTGTGTATGTTTTTTAAAGTTACTTAAAAGTTTTTTCATATAATTTTAGGCCTTTTGAAGAGTTGTAAAAATAGTTTCTGTATGCTCTTTACTCAACTGGCCCTTCTTTTAACATCTTTCATAACTGTGGACATTTGTCAAAGTAAGAAATTAGCCTTGAAACAATACTATTAACTAAAGTAGAGAATTTAAAAAGTAGAGATTTTCTTAGTCTTTTCACTAATGTCTTTTTTTACTTACTGTGACAGGATCCAATCCAGGATCCCACCTTGCATTTAGTTGTCACGTCTGTATTGTCCTCCAATCTGTGACAGTATGTTATGACGCCTGATGTTGTGTGATGTATTTCTGGTGTTGTTAACCTTAATCACTACCTAGTAGTGTCTGCTAGGATTCTCTACTGAAAACTACTGTTTCCTTTGTGATGACTAAATATTATCTGGAGATACTTGGAGACTATGCAAATGAATGTCCCGTTTCTGCTTAAACCTTTGCCCACTCGTTTTCATAATCCATTGGCAAATCTTGCTTGTGTTGTGTCAGTTACTACTGTGGTGTTCTAATGGTGATGTTCTGTTTCTCTCATTCGACATTTATTAATTGGAATTCTTCTGTAAAGAAGGGTTATTGCTTCTGGATTTATGTTTTTAATTATAATAAGATAGTGGGGATAAATACAAACTTAGAACTTAAAGATGTAAACTATATTGAACTGATTCCAAATATCAATATCAAAGAAAGGAAAACTAAATTAGCAACCTGTTTCAGAAAATATACCGAACATATGATTTATGATTTATGGATTTGGTTCAGTTTTTGACTTCAGTTTTTGACTCTAGACTGCATTCAAAATTTTCTCAAAATTTCACATGGACTTTAAGTGTCTGAATTTATATTACTTTGGGGATAATTTTTGTCAGAATCTTGAATAAAGGTACCCATACCTGGCATGTAAAACACAACTATGTTTTTTTTTTTAATCCACTATTCTTTCGAATATAAACACCAAAATGAATATTTAGGCAAATAAGCCCTAATGAAATATCTGGGGGATGGGTTATGATTGTCTACATTTTTGGTGTGGAATTCTTTGAAATGCTTTTTAAAATAGGGTTTCACAAATACAAAGATTTTACAAAAGTCTTTAGTTGATTGATATAATACTGTTAAAGGTGTGCACATTTTTTTTTAAGTTTATAGATTAAATTGGCATTTTTGTAAAAGGTTTTTTGAGATGGATAGTTGATGACTGGAACTTTTTTTCCTCTTTTAAAAAAGTTATGCATTTAAAGAATCAAATCTGTGGAAGTTATGATTTTAAAGAGTAAAATCTATGAAAAAGAGTATTCTCCTGCTCCCAGTCCCATTTTTTAAAATGATTTTAGTGAGAGAGGAAGGGGGAGAGAAACATCAGTCAGTTGCCTCCTGTACATGCACCCACACTGGGCATCAAAGCCGCAGCCTAAGTGTGTGCCCTGACCAGGGATCAGAGCCCACAACTTTTTAGTGTATGGGAAGGCGTTCCAACCCACTGAGCCACCCAGCCAGGGTGCCACTCCCATTTTTAATTCTTCAAAAGCAACCACTTTTGATTGAATTAAAAAAAATTATCTCCATATTTTTCAATAGCTTCTTCTTGATTTATCAATTTTAGGTCATTTCTACTGATTGTCTGTTATAGAGAATGAAAGTTTAGGTTTCTCTGCCTCCTAACATATACCCATCCTCTTAACTTCTCAGTCTAGGTATATGGTAATTTTGTTGAGTGTGTAAATGCTAAACAGAGCTCAGTCATATAGTAAACTGAGCTCTTTCCTCAACACTTGTTTTCCCTGGAATTAATCATTTGTTTTATTTATTTTGTTTGCTTATGTACTTATGATTAATTTGACCTCAAATCATCCATCATTTGTCTAAATCTTCTGTTAAGATGCTCAGATAACCCTGGCTGGTATGGCTCGTGGATTGAGTGTTGGTCTGCAAACCAAAGGGTCACTGGTTCGATCTCAGTCAGGACACATGCCTGGGTTGCAGGCCAGGTCCCCAGTTGGGGGTATTTGAGAGGCAACCACACACTGATGTTTCTTCCCTCTCTTCCCCACTCTTTAAAAATAAATAAATAAAATCTTAAAAAAAAAAAGATGATCAGACATATATTTTACCAGTTTCAAAAGGAAAAAGTCTATCCTAGAGCCTTCTGACTAAAGAACTGGGACTGTTCCTGGTACAAACTTTTATTCTGGGATCTTCTACTCACCATGTTGCTTTCCTGTTTTCTGTAGCCTGTCTTTCCCCTTCTTAGTTTGATTCTTCATTTTAGTGGAGTATTTTCTTCAGTAGTTTCCTGGGAAAGGTGCATGGGACATAATTTGTTTACATCTTGCATATTCATATTTGGAAATGTATGTTCATGGTCCTTTGTAAGAACCCCAATTTTTCTCTCTGGAACCTTATAGGATATTTTTGTTTCCTCTATTCTGAAATTTCCTAAGGTATAGCTTTGGCGTAGGTCTGTTTTATGCTGGGCACATTTCATTCTGGAAACTCATGCCCTTGCTTCCTATGAAGTACTTGTGATTTTTTGGTTTGTTTGTTTGTTTGTTAATTTCCCCCCTCTACCACCCTTATCTCTGTTAACTCTGTAGAATTCCTGCTGTTTCTGTTATAGACCTCTTAGACTGGTTCTTTGGTTTACTTATGTTTTCTGTTTTTCATTTTTTTTGCCTTGTACTTTTACTCACCTTTATATTGCAGCTCTAGAATTTTATATTTCTTCTATCATATTTTTAATTTCTAAGAATTTTTTTCTGTTCTTCTACAGGATTCTGCTTTTGTTTGTGGTTGTAGCATCTTACATCCTTGAGAATATTAATGATAATTTGATGTTCTTATTGAATAATGCATTTCCTCCAAAATTTCTTTCTGTTTTATCTCAGTCTTTATCATGTTAAAGAGATTTCCGAGATGTCTGGTAGTTCTTGGTTGTATTTTTTTTTACAGTATATTATACTAGAAACCCACAATTATTTTTAGAAAATGCTTCCTGACTCTTCTGTTTTTGTTATCATCATCATCATCATCATCTTTCTTGGAGTGGGAGGGCTATTTTAAACCTGAAATTGGGAAGGGTATTTTTATCTTGATAATTTTCACTTTCGTGTTTAAAACAGAAGGGCTTTATATTCTGTGTGGCGTTCCTCCGAAAGTAATGAGCAGTAGCACATCTGCTGTGGTGAAATGTGAGGCAGAGGAGGTGCCAGCTGCTGAGAGTGAGGATTTAGGGGTTTCTGGGATCAGGGCACATTTTTCTCTCAGCCACCCCTTAAATGTTCTTTTATTTTGCAATACGTACTTTATCTTGTAAGCTAATGCCAAGAGTAGTATCGCCAGATGAAACATAGGACTCCCAGTTACATTTGAATTTCAGATCAATAAATCATCTTTTAGTATAAGTGTGTTCTAAATATTGCATGGGAACTACTGGTACTAAAAATTACTATTTTTCTGAAACTCACATTTAACTGGAAATACAATAGTTCCCCCTTATGTGGGAGGAGATATGTTCCAAGACCCTCAGTGGATGCCTGAAACTGTGAATAGTACCAAACCCTACATATACTGTGTTTCTTTCTTGTACATACATATTATGATAAAGTGTAATGTATCAATTAGGCACAGTAAGAAATTAACAACAATAATAATAAAGTAAAACCATCATAATAATATGTTGTAATAAAACTTTCATGAATGTGGTCTCTCAACACTTGATCTTAGCCAAAAGGCCGAGAGGCGATTCTCTCAAAATATCTGGGTGTAGTATACGTACACTGTGGACATGCAGGACAAAGGGGCGATTCATGTCCCAGGAGGGAAGGAGCAGGACAGTGTAAGATTTCATCAAGCTACTCAGAAGTGTGTACAATTGAAAACTTATTGTTTATTTCTGGGATTTTCCACTTAATATTTTCAGATTGTGGTTGACCACAGGTAACTGAAACCATGGAATGTGAAACTGTGGATAAGGAGGGACTACTGTACTGTATTTTTTTAATTGAAGTTTTTATTTTGAGATAATTGTAAATTCATGTGCAGTTTTAAGAAGTGATGCAGAGCTTTCTTGTACCCTTTACCCAACTTCCCTCAATGGGAATATCTTGCAAACTTTCCTGCAGTGTCACAGCCAGGATATTGACTTTAATATATAGCACACTTCCATCATCACAATTTTTAATCCTGTTGACCTTTTTATAGCCATACCTGCTTCTCCTTTGCTACCATACTAAACCCATTAATCTTTTCTCCATTTCTAAATTTTGTCATTTCAAGAATGTTCTATAAGTAGAATTACACATTACATAACCATTAGAGAGATTGGCTTCTTTTCACTCAGCATTATTCTCTTGAGATTCAGCCAAGTTATTTCCTGATCAGCAGGTTTGTTTTTTGAATTGCCACGTAGTAGTCTATGATATGGATGTACCACAGTTTTAACTGTTCACCTATTGAAGGACACCTGGGTTGTTTCCAGTTTGAAGTTCTTATAAATAAAGCTGCTATGTACATTCATGTACAGGTTTTTGTGTGGACATAGTTTTTATCTGGGGGATAAATGCCAAGGAGTGTGATTCTGGGTCATACTGTAGTTGCATGTTTAATTTTTTTAGGAAACTACCAAACTTTTCTAGAGTGGCTATACCAGCAATGTATGAGTTTCTCTGCATCCTTGCCAGTATTTGGTGTCAAAAATTTTTTTAAATATATTTTATTGATTACTCTATTACAGTTGTCCCACTTTTTTCTCCCCTTTATTCCCCTCTGCCCTGCACCCCCGCTCCCACCAGGATTCCTCCACCTTAGTTCATGTCCCTGGGTCATACATATAAGTTCTTTGGCTTCTCCATTTACTATATTGTCCTTAACCTCCCCCTGTCTATTTTGTACCTATCATTTATGCTTCTTATTCCCTGTACATTTTACTCCATTTCTGCACCCGCCCCACTGATAACCTTCCATGTGATCTCCATTTCTGTGATTTGGTTCTTGTTTTAGTTGTTTGCTTAGTTTGTTTTTGTTTTTAGGTTCAGTTGATAGTCGTGAGTTTGTTGTCATTTTACTGTTCATATTTTTTATCATCATCTTTTTCTTATGTAAGTCCCTTTAACATTTCATATGATAAGAGCTTGGTGATTATGAACACCTTTAACCTGACCTTATCTGGGAAGCACTTTATCTACCCTCCCATTCTAAATGATAGCTTTGGTGGATAGAGTAATCCTGAATGTAAGTCCTTGCCTTTCAACATGGGATACTTCTTTCCAGCCCCTTCTTGCCTGGAAGGTTTCTTTTGAGAAATCAACTGATAGCCTTATGGGAGCTCCTTTGTAGGTAACTGTTTCCTTTTCTTTTGCTGCTTTTAAGATTCCATCCTTATCTTTAATCTTGGATAATGTGATTATGATGTGCCTTAGTATGTCTTCCTTGGGTTCAACTTCTTTGGGACTCTCTGAACTTCCTGGAAGTCTATTTCCTTTGCCAAAATGGAGAATTTCATTGTTTTTTCAAATAAGTTTTCAATTTCTTGCTCTTACTCTTCTCCTTCTGGCACCCCTGTGATTTGGAAGTTGGAATGAACGTGTAAAGATGTCCTAGAGGTTCCTAAGCCTCTTCTCATTTTTTTGAATTGTTTCTTCATTCTGTTCTGGTTGCATGTTTATTTCTTCCTTACGGTCCAAGCCATTGATTTGAGTCCCAGTTTCCTTCCTGTCACTGTTGGTTCCCTGTACATTGTCCTTTATTTCACTTTTCATAGCCTTCACTTTTTCCTCTGTTTTGCCACCATACTCAACCATTTCTTTGAGCATCCTGATTACCAGTGTTTTGAACTGTGCATCTGATAGCTTGGCTATCTCTTTGTTGCTTAATTGTATTTTTTATGGAGCTTTGATTTGTTCTTTCACTTGGGCCATATATATTTTTTGTCTCTCTCTGTCTGTTACGTAGTAATAAGCAGAGCCTTAAGTGTTCACCAGGGTGGGGCAACCCACGTCACTGCGTAGTGGCACTGTCTGTGGGGGCGGGGCCTGAGGGAACAGTGCTGCTTGCTCAGCTCTCGTCTGGCTTTCACTCCCTCCACTACCCACAAGCAAATTGGGCCCTTCTGATGCTGATTCCTGGATGGGTGTTTTTGTGTACGTTCTAGGACCCTGTAGGTCTCTCTAACAAACTCTCCTGTGAGGTTGGGAGTTTCTCCTGCTGCCTCAACCCCCACAGGTGTTTTCAGCCAGAGGTTTTGAGGTTTTATTTCCCAGCACTGGAACCCTAGGTTGTGCATTCTGTCTTGCTCCCCAGTTGTTCCTCTGGGCTTAATCTGCATGCAAATGTGGGACCACCCACTCCACCTCCACCAGCTGCTGCCCTTCCCGCTGCCCCAGTGCTTGGTGCTTCATGCCCCGAGGCCTCTTGGACCAGCAGCCTGTCTCTGCCCCTCCTACTGGTCTGGATGAATGTTTCTTCTTTAACTCCTTGGTTGTCAGACTTCCATAGAATTTGATTTTCTGTCAGTTCTGGTTGTTTTTTGTTTTTAAATTTGTTATTCATTTGGTTGTGCGAGGAGGAACAGTGTATCTATTTACACCTCTGTCTTGGCCAGAAGTCTCTGTTATTAGCACTTTAAATTAGTTTAAGTCCGTATACTATATTCAGATTTTCTTAGTTTTTTGCGTAACATGTTTTTCCTCTTCCAGGATTCTGTATCTCCTTAGGAGTCCCTTGCCTGTGACAGTTTCTCAGACTTTTCTTATTTTTGATGACTCTGACAGTCCTACAGAGTACTGGTTAGATATTTTGTAGAATGCTCCTCAACTGGGATTTGTCTGTTTTTCTCATAATTATGCTGGGGTTGTGGGTTTATGTGCCATAGAGGTAAGTGCCCTTCTCATCATATAACAAATGTATATACTATCAATGTAACTGATACTATTGATACCTCAATTACCTGGCTGAGGCAGTGTTTGTCAGGTTTCTCTACTATAAAGTTGCTTTTCTTCCCCCCTTTTCAATACTGTGCTCTTTGGAAGACAGTCACTGTACTCAATTCTGCACTTAAGGGGAGGGGTAATTAGCCTCCACCTCCTTGAGAGCATTATCTCTATAAATTATTTGAAATTTTCCTGCAAGGGAGATTTGTCTATTCTCTCTCATTTATTAATTTATTTGTTTTTTAAAAAATATTATTTATTTTTAGAGGGAGAGAAACGTCTATGTGTGAGAGAGTCATCAGTTGGCTACTGGGGTGCCTCTTGGACGTGCCCCAACTGTGGATGACCAGCAACCCAGGCATGTGCC